TTATAAAACTTTGGGCGCTTTTGATTAGTATTCTTAATATAAAAATTAGTTTAAGTTTTGATGAATTTGAGAGCCGCGGTGGCCCAGAGAGTAAGAAGTTGGCGCGCTAACCAGAAGGTCTCGAGTTCGTTCCCGGTGTTGGCCGAGAAAATTCTACGGGATTTGCCGAAGTGGTTCCCCCGAGACAGAGGTGCAGGAGATATGGCATGGAAAGGGCATGGTTGTACGGATGGGACGAAAATCAGAGATACCGAATGCACATTGTCGTGCGCGTATAAGAACCCTTGGCAGTTGGAATTCGAAATAAGAGTAGACCGTAGCACCGCTGTCCGGACACAATTTCTTTAGATATGCCCGTCTTCATTAGCCCGGTCTGAGCAGAAAAGGAGGACGCTAAACGCAAGTTCATTTGATTTGATGAATTGGGACGCTGATCAATAAACAATCTATAATATTTTATCTTGAAGTATTGCGAAACACCTTTTAAACAGAAATGCGCGTGGTAACTACATAAAAATATCAGGATTTGCAATCGCTGATAGAAGAAACATATTATAAATATATATACAGCCCACGCGAAATAGAGAGTTTCTCACTGAACATTTTTAACAATACAAGTTCTTTCAGTGAATATTGAATGTGTGACATCAAGCTGAAAGAGTCATAAAGGGCGATATATAAAATTAATCATATTACGATAAAAGTCATCTATTCAGAAAAATAAGATTAAAATACAAGATTGAATCGCGATGACCCAGTAACTGTACTTGAATCTAAAGGCGCAGTTATTTTTTTGTTTTGATATCGATCCCCAGCTACGTTATAAATGTATTATACAAAAGCACAATAAATACACGAGAAGTGATATCGGATTATTTAGAAAAATGAAAATTATCTTGTCTCGTAGAGGACATCCGCCAACATGGACGTTAAACACCTTACGTACAATTTCCCTATTCGATAAGACGTTAAATCCCCAATGCATTTACTTATAACTAAATACATGGCTAGGATACAAACTTTTAAGTCAGAAATCAAAACTATTTGGGTAGAAGGTGACCTCGGGACACTGGCCACGGGCCGCCTTAGCTACATATCGAGTTGTTTAAATAACGCAAACTAGTCTCAATAAAGTAATGTATAATACAATGTTTTTTATACCTGGGAATCAATCCAGCATAAATAACATATCAATACAACAGTATTTCAAAAACTTATTAGCTGTATATAAAACAATTGCCAAAAGAATAGTGTTTTAGAAAGAGCAAGTCTATCATGCTTGTACACGACACACGTCACTATATTCATAACCATCTGGGGCATTGGTTTCGTTCTGGTTTTCAAAACTGAAAATACACTGAACACAATTCTATGGAATACAAATACTGTTTATTACAGAGGGACGGAATATTAAGCCTTTATCAAGTGATGTTACGCAGTAATAAACAGTAATTGCATTCTAAAGAACAGATTTGTGAGGCGAAATGGTATCAGAAATTGTTTCAAGAGTTATATACATATCTTCAGACGCGCAACATTTAAACATATAGGATGAATAAAACAGTAATCATCATAAATAATTTTGTCTTTAATCTTTAACTTCATTACATCCCCTTTAGGCTATATTCGGCGACCACACATTTTTACTATAACATTTGTGTATATGGTTAAAAGTAAAGGCATTAATAAAGAAACCTGCTGAAATGGAAAGTGAAATACAAGTAATACTATTATATGCAGCCCACATACTGAGTAGTGCATTGAAATGTGCGGTTATATGCTTGAGTTTCTTTGATGTTGTAAAACAATGCTTTATTTATTTGAATGGATTTACAAAACTGCACACACATAATAGTGACGGGTGGAGTGGGTTTTTTGTTAAACACTGCAAGCACATACATTTTTTTTTTTTACAAATATTTCACTTATTTTTACTCGACGGAACGAGGAGGCCGCCCTTACGGGGTCTCAGTAGGGGTAGCGGGGCTCGGGAACTTGGACTTAAACATCATTGTCCCTACATGGACACCCCTTTCTTTTCAATCGAATAATTAAAAAAAAAATATAAAAAAATGCCCGCGTGCCGTTCAAAGTCCAAGTAGTATTACACTATGCATTACTACCAGTTAGCAATGTGACGTCGCGACACCCTGTTATGCAAATAACAATAAAGTGTTACACCATGTATAGGATAGAGACGGACTATAAATCTAACACAGAGAAAATGACTCGCAGATTTAAAGAATCGCTCAAACTTATACATTACTCCTTCATATGTAAATAATTATATAAATTAGTATTATGCATTTTGTATATATTGTTATAAATTGTTAATAAACAACAACAACGGGCTTCCGTCTATTTTCTAGGCAGACGGACTGCACCACACATAAGTTACATAGAAACAAATACACGGACAAGACATTATACTCAACACAACAAACAAACAATTCAAAAAAGGGGAGGGGTTATACAGGGCATTTAGACGATGCACAATAACCCCTAACAGGAGTTATGGGCATCTACATTGATCCCCTCTCAACCCTCCGTGCATACCACTGACTCCGGGTTATGGTTGATTGTGCTTTATTTCCGTTACTGAAAGATCATACAATTCAAATATTTATCAATGTGGCTTAAATAGACTCTTTCGGATTCAAATTGCATTGACATCCGTAACTGAGAAGCAGGTTGCCTAACAGTAAACACCCTTGTGGCATTGATGAACCTGTTTTCGTGCTGGATCAATGAGATCCTAAAAGTCTCGATGGTTGTTATTAAACGTGCCTATGGACACATCCAAGTACTTAGTCCCTTCATAAAAAGGTAAAAAGATTTATCGGTATATGAGAAACTGGGTTATCATAATAACTGTTTAGTAAAGGTATTATTTACCGCTTTTTGAAACGTTCTCTTGATAAACGTAGATCAAATAACCATCCATCATTATAAAACACAATCTACCTGGTCATCTTCAATACGGTCATAATTATTTATGCACATAATTTACTATAAGTGTTATGATTATTTGCTATTCCAGATATTTACCGTAAAGACACATTCCCACGAAAGTATTTATAGGGAAGTTATTTCCAATAAGTATACCATATTTGGTATATACGTATATGGAAAGTAGAGACTCAGTCTTACCAGAAACATACTGGATTCCCTGAAAAACACCCACGGGGCGCTTCTTGTATGTTGATCTGATGGTTAACGGTTGTGAGAACATTGCCAGACTTAAATGTCCATTAGGCCAATAAAGAAATTGGCAGGTGATAATTATACATAATCCAAGAATTGACTTAGGCTTCGATATTTATAGAAAATAGACAGCGACTAACGACAAATACAAGCTCAACTGGATTATCCCTAGCGATACATATATATTGAACAACTTCTGGATAGGGTAAGAGTTTTTTCAGTTTCAAATATTGATAGAAATAAAAGGAAAGGAAATGATTTTAACGTCTCATCAACACAATTATTTTGTCATTTGGATAACATAATGGTTATATTTTCTATGGTCACGTACGCAATGCTAGGTAGGCGAATTTTGCCCGGACAGCGGCTTCCGTCTATTTTTCATCGAAATCCAGCTTTCAAGGGTTCTTTTACGTCCACGATCGACTAGGCTACCATCCAGACAAGTACGATTCGGGATGGAAAATCCCGTATTTCTTCTCGGCCCACGCCTGGAATCGAACCTGCACAATCTAGTCAAAAGACCAGCGCCGCCTTACCACCCGACTACACCGACTCTTTCTTACTCCTTACCGCTCGACTACACCGACCCATTCGTGCACCTTACCGCCCAACTACACCGACCCTTTCCTACTCCTTACCGCCCGACTACACCTACACCTTCGTGAGAAATAATGTTAATTATTCACTAAACACTACTTGAATCAGATGTTATCATAGAAAACTAACTTCAAAACTTTAAATTGATCAACTGTGATAAATGTTTTGGGAGATCTGCCTTGAGGGCACATTGTGTACAGCGATATTTATACTACAGTACAGGGGAATATTTCTGTAAAATAAACACAACAGTTCAATGGATAAGAATTACAAAATTTCTATTATTTATGTAACTGTTCATCTAAATTTGTCTACAACCCTAAAATGAATTTTTGAGGTTTGTCTACCCCCAAAAAACGAATGTCCTGGATAAAAATAACCCAAACGAACATACCTCATATGCTAATACCTGTACTACATTATTCGAATAAATCGTAATCCAAATAAACCAGAAGTTTATGTACCTATGTATTTTACTTCTGATTTGTCATACAAACTTTTTTGAAGAACCTTAAAATGGATGATATGACTGGTAGAAACACGGAACGTTATTGACAATAAAACAGAAGTAATATAGAAATTCACACGACAGGTACTGAAAAGTATTTATACAAAGTCAAAATATTCCTTTTTGTTCTATGGTAAGTCGGCTTTCAGATTCTGCTACACTGAAAACTAAAACCCCAAAAATCAGCATATAACCGTAAGTCTTTATTCACCAATATTATTCCTATAAACACACACGAAATTAATAAAGATTTTTTTTTTTTTTAAAAAACAAAACAAAAAAAAAAACCGCTTGTGCATGATAACTATAAGACTGGGTCATCGACTTCTCACGCTCTGTTGTAACAAAAACTAAGTCAAATTTGGTTCCATAAGAATAGAGACATGATTAAATGTGGGAAAGTTATAATTAGCAAAAAATCATAACAACTATAATATAATAGGTTGATGTATGTATATACAAAGTTTCATAAGATTAAGATATCTTCAACTGTTTATGTTGAATAAATTTTAATAAAATAAAAAAAAATAAAAAATAAAATAAAAAAAAAGGGACGGAAAATCGGGCCGGGACAACTTCCACACGCACTGTCATCGGTATAAACGTATTTTTCTTTATAAATAAGAAAAATCCTCACCTGTCTCTAACAGGTTTTTAATTACTAAAAATTAACAAGTTTTTGACTTACCTGTTGTCATATAGATAAACAATTATCCAAGTATCACAATTCATAATGTTCCGTCTTATTCATTTACGTAATCACGTCAAATTAAGAAAAAATACTGTACACTGACTTAACAAACCTTGCGTCTTGTCGACTGAAGAAACTAGACCCTTTAACCCGTTACTACATCAGTCTCGTTTATCAAGTCCACCATTCATATGCATATTGGTATAGATCGAGGAATGCGAAGTAGAAAGACCGTCTCTATGACTATGTACACGAGTTACAATGGGGTTAATAATAAGGTATGGATACAGGTATTCTATAGAAGGGGCGACAGTCCTTATTGCCCATCGATGTTCCCACGTGACCAAATTAAGTCTCCTACACACGAAACACACTCACACACACATGTGGAACATTTTAAAGTGAAATTGCGTCAGGATTCTGGCTTTTGGTATTTTTGGGTGGCGCCTGTGGGGCTGACAAGATTAAACCAAAAACCGAAGTTCCCCAGTCTACAAATTGGCGTGCACGTAAAAGTACCCGAAGAGTAGGCGAAAACGCCGTTGGACGTAAATTTCTCCCCCTAGCATTGCACACACTTTCAGCCATTGAAATGAGAAAAAAAAACTTAATCTTAAGTGCCGAGGAACCTCACCACAAAAAAACAATTACACAAAACAAACCGACGGACATGACACAATATACACAGGCACCTCAAACAACAAACGCACAATCGCGTATATCAGACCAAGTGAATGGATCCTGTCGCTAGACGTAAGCGTCCACTGTGTCTCACAATGACCAAAGGTTTTGGTTGACGAGACTCAAAACTCCGTTCCATTCCTTTACATTGAGGATTTTTAAATTATCTGAAAATGTTCAGCTCCCAAAAGTAAAAGTGGGAGCCGCGGTGCCTCGGTGAGTGATACATTGGCTCGCTTACCAAGAGGTCCCGGGTTCGATCCCGGTGTTGGGTGAGAAAGTTCATCTGGATTTTCCGGCGTAGTTCCCCCTTGCCAGTGGTGCAGGATAGAGAGCCAGCAAGGGACAACGAATAGTCGTTCGGGTGGGACGAAAACCCAAGGTCGCGTGTACACATTGACGTGCACGTAAAAGAACCCTTGGCAGTTGGAATTCTATATAAGAATAGCCGCTGTCCGGGCAAAATTTCCATCATAGCACACTGTATGACGTATGCCCGTCTTTATTAGAGCAATTCAATAGGGCGTTAAACCCCATTTTATTTTTCTATTTTTTTCATTTTCATTTTCCAAAGTACAAGCGACACGTCTCTTTATTGTGTAAATAAGTTTGTCTACACTGGTAGATATGTTTGTACTGGTAAAGACTCATGAAGTATGTTGATACCATGTAAATACCATTAAAACATTTCACATATACACGGATTGATATGTCTAAGAGCTAAAGTTTATTTACGTAACAATGCTAGAGAGGGGCAGATCTTCTATGAAACTTATCCAGGTGTGGTGGGGAGGGGTGTCCCAAAAGCGACTTTGGGTCCATCGGTAAATATTTTAGATCCACTGTAGTGACAGGACTGGTACTGTATATAATAAGGAAGTCGTGGATAAATATTTGAAAGGATTGCGTTGTGATTTGCCATCTAACAACCTCATTAAGTTTGCTAATAGACCCCATATAACAGTTCGACTCTCGGGGACTTCATAAATATAGGTCCGCCACTGATAAGTCTCCAGGTTGAGGTTGCCTGCTAAATTGGCACGCGCGAGTAATATTGAAGTGTTTTACCTACAAGGTTTTTGTAAGTTGTGAAAATAAAGGCGTGGCAGTCTACGTGGGTTTAAAATAAAGGCGTGGGGTGGTATGTGGATTTAAATCCTAACAATATCACGTTAATCAATTTGATAAGAGGGTTGTATCTGCGGGTAGGGTAACGTGGGTGTTATACAACGATTATACAACATTGACTCCTCGCCTTCAAAATCTTAGCAATATCACGATAGTCAATTTGATCTGACAGTATATTATATGTACGTAACTAACGCCCCAAAACTAAAAACTAAATGATAGTTAGCTATTATACTGTCGTGAGATGTTTTTTTTTTAAATTTTTTTTTATAGAATTAAGACATTAAAGCAGAATCAAAAATAAATTATTTTTGGAATATGGTTCATATTTTCGTAAAAAAAAAAAAAAAAAAAATCCCCAACCCATTTACAATGTCTAGATGTGGCATCTTTTGATTCAGAGAGCGGGCGAGAGAGAAATGGGCTTTAAGTGGGAAGAAACTGGCGGACCCGGAGAAAATCCACGAAGTTGGACAGGCGACCATACTCCTTGTCACGTACAACCGAGGAATCGAAACCACGCCAGGTGACCCAATGACAGACCTTATGAGACAGCACACAGGCGCTAACCATTGGGCCATCCAAACCCACCCTCTTTTTATTCCGATTCGAATGTTTGAGAATTGAGGTTTCATACCTTCTGGACACTTTACATTAGTCATTTTTTTACGGTGATATTTTATTTACTATTTGGTCAGGTAAGGCCTAGCAGGGTGGAGACGAGAACACAGGGCTAGATCTAAATATTAAGGCCACCTCCAGATTTCGTCAACATCTCGTGGCCGTGACCTTGGTGGACTTAATATTTAGATCTGACCGAGGACGCAGGTGTTTTCATCGAGATCTGGCTAAAATCATCCCATAAGTTGTTATTGATTACAAGGCGTTGCTAAGGAAAATTGTGAAAAAAAGAACAAAAAAAACCCCCCATCAACTAACATGATTTGCGCTGTGGTGGAGTTATGGGAGATATTACCTGTATTATTTTTTTTTTTTAAAGATTCAGAGAGACACCATTTTGGCTACAGAGACAATTTACGATACATTAGCCTAGCCAACTAATTATATTTTAATGTAAATGTTAAAGTTTCAAGTCACGTTCGACCAACTGACTGTTTTTCGGTGTAATTTCCATAAAAATGTCAATAATGCGGAAATGAAACTCAAATTAAACCCATAGACGTGATGAGCGCTTGATTAGGTAATATTGATGAACGCTATATTAATCTGATCTTGAATACAAGAATATACAAGATTACCGGCGGGGGTGGGGGCTAATGGGAAAATTTACTTTGCTCACACGCAGAGTTACAAACCCCAACGTAACACTAAAACCCAGCATTCCCGATAGATGATTTCTTCTTAAGGAAGTTAGCTCCTCATCCAGCCTGATCTCCTTCCCAACCGATCTGATCTCTTCCCCAACCATTTTGATCTCTTCCCCATCCTGCCTGATCTCCCCAACCAGCCTGATCTTCTCCCTACCAATCTGATCTCCTCCCCATCCAGCCTTATCCCACGGACCTGACTGATCTATCCAACCAGCTTGATCCCTCCAGCACCTGTTCTGATCTCTCCAAACAGCCTGATCCCTTACGCAACCAGTCTGGAAATAGCCGATACCAAAATGATAACCACCATGAAGTTCCAAAAGAAATGACACCAGATAGTCGACACATTGGAAGTACAAACACATACCTGTCGTTATTTGATGAACTTGTCAAAATGGACCACCCATGCAGTAAAAGTTGTGCAAATCATTGTGGAACGCAACAATAGAAATTTTCATTGGGGAATTCCATTGTTGTAATTCTAATATGATGCCAAGTCTGCCACGAAGTATGAAATGGGGTTTAACATCCCCTTTTTCTGTGGCAAATGGGATAATGAAGACAGTATACCCCATGCCGTGTGCAACGAGAACATTTTGCCGGGATAGTGGCGTTTCCAACTACTCTTTATTTTTCGGCAAAAGGAATGATTTCTCACTATATTTGACACAAATTTAGCGATTAAATAAACATGCGGCTTGCGCATGTTCGAGTCTCGTAATGGCTGTTCAGCTCAAACATAATTTGTGTATGTTTTTAATCGCAGAATTCTACTTGAAAATAGTGTTGAGTTATTATAAATTTGTATCAGCTGTGACAAGAAATGATTCCCTTGGCGAATAAAGAAATCGCGGTGAAAATTAGTCCGTAATAGCCTTAGAACAGAGGTGGGGAAGAGCGGTATTTTCATATATTGCAGCTATATGGGGATGGACAGGAACTGTCACTGGACAGGAACTAGGCTTTCTCCAGGCACTCAAGTCTCCGTTGACTTCTAAAACCCTTGTATGCTCAAGCGAATTATTAAAACACAACAATGTTAGTCCCAAAATGGTCTAGTTAGTGTTGTAATAACCTTAGGCTCTCCACCATAATATGTTACTTTGATCCATTTATCATTCTCTCATAATACATTTACGTTCCTTCTACAAATCCCTGCATATTCTACAGCACGTCCTCGGTCTACAATATCCTGTTATTTTAACCCCAAAAAACCAAACCTAGATCTTATAGTAGGATTGTTATTGGCTAATTTTGTGGGTGGGGCTGGATGACAATGACAAGCTGAAGTGCATTTTTAAATAGTTGGTGTCTTCCTGAAGTGTACAGAATAAATAAAGGATGCTTAGAATAAATGAATAACTAATGTAACCTTCATCTAAATTAGCCTACTTTTAATCAGTGACGTTTACAGGTGCGCTGACTTGTCTGTTCCGTAACAGTTATATAAACGTCAAGCAAACACGATTTTAATCGGAAGTAAAAATCCAACAAGACGACTCGGGTAACATCAACATCTCGCACACTGTTTACCACAACGAAGTCAATTTTGTTTCCATGGTAGGTTCCGTAACAATAATATAGACGTCAAACACAAACGATTCTAATCGAAGTATTATTCGTACACGACGACTCGGGTCGTCATCAATACCCCCCCCCCCCCTTGTTTGCCACAACGAAGTCAAATTTGTTTCCATGGAAGAACAAACCTCTTTAAATCGGAGAAATTCGAATTAGCAAAAGCCATAGGTGTTCTATAAATTTCATAAAGATGTCGTGAGAGGCGCAAGGGCATGACCCATTTTAATATCCGCCCATAATTATCGTATTTGATAGAATCGGACAACGGGAAATGGACATGCGTAGACATAAGATAGTAGAAATTTAGAAATTGTCAAGTTATTATATGTGATCCTTAAAGTCAAATATAAAAATGACTCAACTTAAGTATTTGCAAAACTACTATGTATAAAGGATGATGTGTTTAGTGTATACAAAGTTTCATAAAGATATCTTGAATGGTTAATGACATATGCCCTCGAAGCAAGTCTGGGTCAGAATGACGGACCTGTTCGACGCGGGAAAATAACATCAATTGGCGTTTATTTCATTACAAAACGACTCAATGTTTTGGTTAAGAATATATACTCAGTGGTCAGGATTCTTCTAAATATTTAATCATGAATCAAAGCCGAACCTTTAAAAAATAAACTAGTTTTGCAGTCGACATACTGTGCATCTTGTTACACGATGTTTTACAGTGGACATACCGTGTATCGCATTACATCGTGTTTTACAGTGGACATGCCGTGTATCGTGTTACACAGAGTTTTGTAGTGAACACAGTGAGTATCGTGTTACACGGTGATTACAATCGACGACTGCTGCATCTTGTTACACGTGTTTTAAAATTATTGCATGAAACAAAAGGGAAAGAAAAACAAAGCAAACAGATCATTTTAAATTTCTATGTGATGGCGATCATTTTAAATTTCTATGTAATAGCGATCAATACGCAGCAACATTAAATATCTGTATAAGAATATCATTTTATAAATCAAATTTAGAGTAAATTTCATGTAATAATATCAAATACATTGTAATCAGTTTTTATATACAGCTAAAATATTGTACAATCTATATACCTAATAATATCGAACATCTTTGTCCAAACCTTGTGTCAAATTGGTTTAAAATTGTTTTGTATAAATCATAATCATCATGTCCATAATATTATATAGATTTAAAATTACATAACAATTACATATTGTTAGATTTAAAGCATTGCTTTTGCGTGATATTAAAAATACATTCAAAACATAAACAACACATAATCGAAACAGTAACAAAACATTTTGTACATATATAGAAGCGTGACAATAATCATAGTTTTATACAGGTACCATTTATAAAATACAATAAAAATATATGATTTTTTACAACCCTTGAAAATATATCGAAAAATTTTGAACAATATAAAATTTAATATAAATTCAAACCCCAAAGGCTACCTTATTAAAAAAAACCAAAAACATAGCTGAGATCCGGTTGACGAATTACAAAATTATTTATCGTTCTTACTATCCTGATATATTTTGTTGTGAATTGAGGCTTGAGTAATTGCATGAGTTTTTATTAAGTTGAAGGCTTAAAGCAATTTGTTGACGTCAAAACAAAATTAAATCTTTGTTCAAAATTTGTGTCAAACGTTACTTTGGTAATTAATTTTGAATACATAGAGGGATCGATGGAACTGGATTTTAAATTAATCCTCATAATTTTTTGCTCCTCCAATAATTCGGTCTTTACCTGTTAAGTCGAAATAGTGTGATTTGTTGGAGTTATCAACAATAGATTTCAACATCATAAATAATAACATACAAATTTCAACTCATAATTATTACTGTATGTATTTATGATAGACTAGATGTTTCACACAAGGCACGGTTTAATAGACAGTGTGTTTTGCTGGAGTTATCAACAATAGATTTCTACATCATAAATAATAACATACAAATTTCAAGCCATAATTATTACTGTATGTATTTATGATAGACTAGATGTTTCACACAGGGCATGAATTAATAATTATTTAACATTATATGTTATTGGACAGTTTTCTAAAATATATTATTATAGAAACATTAATTCTGTTTGCACTGAGATTTGACTAAGGCACAATTTAACAAACACAACATCTACTTGTATAGGTAAATGGTGGAATATTTTTTTTCTAAACAGGCAGAAGCCTATAGAACCCCTCTCCATGGAATATCACTGGATGCATATGTTAATACTACATATATATGCTAATATAATACCTCTTGGTGCAGTTTTGTGTTTTCTGTAATTGTGTTTTCATTATATCCAATCATACATAACTAATCACATAATGGGAATAAAAACAGTTATAATGTTCTGCTCTGACTGGGCTAAGGAAGACCGGCATACGCCAGACTGTGTTATGAGAGAAATTTTCCTGGAGAGCAGTGCTACGGCCTACTCTTATATATCGAATTCCAACTGTCAAGAGATCTTTTACGTGCATGCCAATGTGTACACAGGACCTTGGTTTTTCGTGCCATCTGAACTAATAGACAGCTGTCCTTCTCAGGGCCCTCCGTCCTTCACCACTGACAAGGGGAAACCATGCCGGGAACTCATTATGAACTTTCTCAGCCAGCTAGCCAGCATCTTACCCACTTAGCCGCTGTGGCTACCCATAATCTGAATAAAAACAGTAGATATCGTGGCCCAGTTTATAAGGGTCAGGTTCACCAACTAGCAGGTCTTGGGTTCCATCGCTTTGTTGGTTGAGAAAGTTACCCATAATATTTCAGCATGATTTCCCCTTATCAGTGGTGGTGCAAGATGGAGAGTCTGGCAAGGAACAGCATATCTAGTCATTCGGATGGGATGAAAACCTGAGAAACCTTGACAACTGGAATTGGAAGACATAAAGGGCAACATTTCCCTCAGCAACATGCCCCTCTTGATGAGCTCAGTTGGTGCAAAAAAGTGGGATGTTAAAGCAATAGTTGCATATTTTATAAGAAAGTCAAAACATAATTATATTTGCCAATTTTTCAACTGACACTAGGGAATTATAGGACTATAATGGGATTATACATAGGTAGGACTGTGTATATATTTCATTTATTTTAACCTATTTTATACATATGACTTTACAAAATGCAACTATAGCTTTAAGCCCCAATTCATGTTATTAATATATGTTTTTGTGTGTTTTCAGTGCCGTATTAGTTATCTAATCATTAAAATATACAATAGTATTTCATTATATACATCAAGCCCTACATAATATATTTAATTAAAAGCTTTGTTATTCACAAAATACAGAAGAGAAATATTATATTCAGCTTTTTATGTTATTGTATATTGTCATGTTGCATTATATACACATTAAATATTATTATATTTTTTATTGTGTGAATTCCACTACATCACAAAGGGAAATAACTAGAAACAACAATATTAAAAAATAGTATACTTGGACCTTGCAACAACTTGCTGACTGCTGTTGTTCAAAGTATGATGCTGATAAATTCATACATTTATGTATTGCATTGAAAATTTAACTAATATGCATTCATATTGCCTACATCTACTAATAGGTTTACATTTCGACCAAAAACAAAATAAAGTTAAGAAAATCTATATAATAATTTCAATTTGTATACACATTAACTAGTCCATCCATCAGTGAAATTATACAAGCAAGTCCCTGATACTCATTTGCTTTTCTCGAACAATATCTAAGTTGTCATGGCTTAAACATACATACATTAGCTCTTAATTAATGCATCTTTGACATTTAATTGGAAAAACAAAATCCATGGTAGATAATCATCACCAAATTGGATAAAAAGAAGGCCATCAACAGAGTTCTACAAGAAAATGGCTGGTGCTGGCTAGTTTGGACCAAATTTTGTCAAATTTTTATTTTATCATATTTTTGCAATTACAGAGTGGAACAGAACCAATTTTGGAGTGATATTGGAGAGATTAAAGTTTCACAATGGATCAGAGACTTTTAATGTTTGCTAAAACACAGATTTGGGAAAACATTAAACAGATATGTTTCTAGTTGTTTAATGGAATGCTAAGAGTTTGTCACATAAAAATTTAAGGTTTTTTTGTTAATAAATGGGTGAACATCGATGAAGTTACAGTCCGATACAACACTACATGTATATCGAAAGGAACCAAGACCTTTTAGAGATAAACCTATATTTCGTCAAAACCAAGACCTTTTGGAGATAAACCTATATTTCGTCAAAATCAGATTAAAGTTGTGAACGGACACAACAACAATATACATGTACATCCACGTGAAAATGGTGGCGTATAAAAATCAATTCTCTTAATCATCAGGCCTGGAAAGCATTCACAAAGCATTCGCAGATTTAGAGTTAAGAATTTACTCAACTTTCAATCATTGTTGATGTGAAATATCTTTGATCCATAAACACAAAACTTTTCACAGTTTTGACTAAATTCTAAACTTAAGTCAGAGAATGCTTTGTGAACTCGGGGCCTGGTACATGACATTTTTAACAAAGACAAATAAGTGCTGGACAAAATGGCGGGCACAAACGGTTTTGTGCCTGACAAAGCCTGTATTTGTGCTTGACAGTCAGTGGCAGCTGTCTTAATTCTTGTCTTGTTGATCATCTTATAACAAACATCTGGTCCTAAAAATTCAATTCTTTCAGATAACAAAAAAGCAAAACAAAACTAAAAACACATAATAAAAATGGACATATTTTGAGAAAACATTATTTGCATGATTTAAACTTAATAGTTCTTTAGCTTTAGCCTGGGCAACTTCGTCATTTGGATTCCCATCACTCGCTGTGAACCACATATGCATGCATTGCTCTGTCTCCGGAACAACTTTCCAAGAAAAGTTCCAAACAGTTTCACAAAAGTTTGAGGAATTGGAGTAAATTTCGGAAAATTTCTTGCATGGACTGCCGACAGGGCAGGTATTTTTTCCTGGAAAGAAAAGGAATTATGTAGACATTCTATTTTTTTAATATCAATTACAGATCTGGTTTCAATAGTTTTATATAAAACAACGTAGTATTATAAAGTTTAAATTGCAAAGCAGGGTAATTCTGTTGAAATGGTGGTGCTGGTTCACTAACCAGGAACCGAGTTCACAAAGCATTCTTAGACTTAATAAGAATTTACTCAACTTTCAATCACTGTTTACATGTGAAATATCTTTGATCCAGAAACACAAAACTCTTCACATAGTTTCTTATTGATATATTTGATACATTAAAACAAGAAAAGTTTTATAAAGGGCTATATTTTTGTTGAATTAGGCGACCAATTTTGAGTAAATTCTTAACTTAAGTCTAAGAATGCTTTGTAACTCAAGGCCAGGAGGTTCCTGGTTTGATTTTGGTGATGGTTGAGAAAATACCTGGGACGATTCAGCATGGTTTCCCCTTGTGTCAGTGGTGCAGGACAGATCAAGGCCTGTCAATTGCTTGGATGGGACGACAAACATGCACGTAAAACAACCCTTGACAGTTCCAAACATTTCTTTTTTTCACACAGTTTTGTCACCGATGTTCTGCTTCTTTGCCATAAATCAAGGATTAATCATTAGCAGTAAATTTTCTGGTGACAAATTCACTCAAAGCTGCAAGATCTTGATTTTTCATTTTATTTACACAAAATACAATATCAATGATAGATAATCTGCGTATGTGGATTCAATTGTATTAAAGAGAGGTCCATCAAAATTTTTAAACCAACCTTGGTTTGTTTATTCTGAATGGAATTGAACCATTTTTGTACTTATATTCCTTCCATATAATGAACTTTCACAATAATGCAGTTTGCAATGTAGTCAAAATCTGTCAAATGATTATTAACAGCTTCGAGACTGATATTATTATTAGCGATTTAACTTTCACAACATTTGTAGTTTGCTAATTAGTCAAAATCTGTCAAATGATTATCAACAGCTTCAAGACTGATATTCTGATTAGAAATTCAACTTTCCCAATATTGCAGTTTGCAAGGTAGTCAAAATCAATCAAATGATTTTGCTTCAAGACTGATATTACTTTTAACGATTCAACTTTTGCAATATTGTAGTTTGTAAAGGATTCAAAATCAGAAGGCTTTAATAACTGTTGTTAAATTCAAAACAAAACAAAATCAGATGATAAAAAGGGAGACAACTCACCTGTAGTCCAATTAAAATCTTTACCCCAGTTTTGTAAACATGTCATTTCATCTTTACAATCATTCCACCAATTAGTACAATCCCTTTCACATAACGGTGCATGCATAAACTTTTCATTTCTTATCTTCATTTTAACCTGTTTACAATAAAATTATTGATCATTAGGCTATATTTAAAGTATCTATGGTACTTCATTACGTTTTTAATATCTATTGTGACTGTCGATTGTCTGTCTGTCTGTCTATCTGTCTGTTCAGAGTTTGGCGCCTACACTAGGTTTGTCCCGAGGCTGAAATTTGGTGGTGTGTAGGAGTATCTCAGACTGGGGAGTAACATAGGCCTGGTGGTGATGGACTACCGCTTCCGGTGTTGAGCTATCTCTGGTTTATGGCTATACCTGTGCTATCTTGTCTGCGATATCACCCTAGGTGGAAGCTGACGTAAAACTCCACAAACGAACGGACCTGTGCTATGCCAGGTCAACCGCTTATAATCATTAGGCCATATAAAATTATCTATGATTTCAATGCATTTTAAATATATCTTACATACAATCATTAGGTCATGTAAAATAATCTGTGATTTCAATGTGTTTTAACTATATCTTATATATGGCAAAGAGAAAAGCATATAATTGTTTGGACAGGACAAAAATCTGAGTTTGATAGTCGTTTAAAGATCGTCTGACAGCTGGAAATTGAAATAATACATGAATAGGCAAAATATCCCTCACAGTACAGGGCATGAAGTATGACCTTCATCATTAGCCCACTTGGTGCAGAACAATTGGACGTTAAACTCCATTTCATTCCATTTTCCTCTTGTAGTTGATGCAAGACAGAGATGGAATATAAGGGAAAAGTGTCTAGTTTTTTGGACAGGACGGAGGGTTGAAAATGGAAAATAAGACTTGGCTGTAGTGCCGCTGTTCATGCAAAATTTCCCTCATAGAACAATTCATTGCATATATATGCTGATCTTCATTAGCCCAGTGTCTTGAAGTACCTTAAAGATCCCCTAACAGTAGGATACAGAGATTGTAGCTGGACAAAATTTCTCTCATAGCAACTGCATGGCAAAATATAAAACGGTCTGGTTTTTCAAAAATAAATCTGTTTTGGTATTAATTTCTTACCGGAACAAGCCAAGGCCCGACATTTGGTGAACATTCATAAAAACACAAATCTTGCATAAAATGTTCTCGACATTTTGGTGACAGTGTCTGACAGTGGTTCCAATCAAAGTTTAACCAGGCATCTGCTTTATGAAGAGCTTCTGACGTCTCATTTGTACAACATGATCTGTCTTTCCAAGGTGCACACTAAAATATAAATAAACAAATCAACAGTGAGGCTGATGTCACCCACAACAATTCCACAATAAATGGATGACAGATACTAATTAATTGCACATGTATCTTTTTGAAAAGTATCGAGGAATCAAACTGATTATCTAAGCAGAAAATGTTCTCGAATCAAACTCGGTCAAGGTTTTAATTACCTGGTACCGTTGGTGAAACTCTAGAGACACCAAGTTTCATCACTCTCCATAACTTAGAATAAAAGTTATCTTGTCCAAAAGCATCAACCAATGAAAATGCTTAGCTTTGGTTAGCTATAGCGGAAAAAGTTAATCATTGAACACCAAGTTAAAACATTCTACCCACTGCCTTATTAACCATGAGCGCTGAAGGCGCGAAGCCCCGCAATTCAGAAATTGGAGGCCGGAAACGTGATTTCCTGGCATTTCAGGCACTTGTGTCGGAGCCATTTAGAAGTACCTTCCCCAGAAAAAAATAAAATTCTGCCACAAAATTAGCGCATTCTGGCGTTATTTCAGTGGACCAATCCATGCGAGTGCTATGAAATGATGGCATTTCTAGAGGAGGGGGCTGGAGCCCATTGAGCCCGTTAAATCCGCCACTGTAAGTGAGCAGAGCTACATCAAACCTAATTTTGAAGTCGCTCAGTGATAAATAACGGGGTCACTTGATTCGGAATCGTATTATATCCCCCACTATGATTTGATGAATGGAGGCCGTAACGTTACGACCAAGCCGGACTCGATTTTTGACGAACGTCGAAAATATGAGGCGGCATCACCGGATTACACCGAATTTTCGGATGTCGTTTGCGACACACCATGGATTGAGGGGCCCCAGGGACTTCCGATGGAGGGCCCTTGGAAGTCCCTGGGGACCCGTCACTAGGTCACCGGCCGTTGGAGTCCTCGGTCCGACCATGCTCGAGGCGCGCAACTGAGATTTTTGTGGGGGCCCTCTAATGTGGGGGGCCCTGGGGCCTGGGCCCCATGGTTAATCCGGCGTTGATTCTACCTCAATTAAAAGCAGAGTTGTTATGCCCAAAGTCTCGACCAATCAAATTACCTATTACTACTTGCCTAAGCGAAAAATTCTTATCATCGCACCTAGTCCAGGTATTGATACAATGAATCTATATTCTGGATTTCACCACTCTTACCCAATTATAACCAAGACAGAAGGGGAACAGCAAATCAAAATGTTTTATGGCTTTTGTCATTAACCGATGATAGTCCGCACACAGGCTTGATGATAGACAAATGAAATTAATCAACAATAATTGCTGTCTAATGTAGCAATGCTTGCCTTAATAAGCTGTTTATGTTTGGATCCAGTGCCATTGCGAGTAACGCCCTTGGGTCTCTCTATCCACCCTCTAATAAATATAATAAATTTTTTAGAATCAGTGAACCATTTCTTAAAGAATCTATTACATACTTCATTTATATATGTATGACATTTCTATAAATATACTAACAAAGCTGAATAGGCTTGATTCTGGTCCAGGTTTGGATTTATGATGTTTTCCATCTAAACATGTATTGATTAGCTCATCATATGTATTTCTCTCAACACAAAACACACCAGATATAAAACACAATACCAATATTCCTTCAACAAATCTCCACATCTTCTACTTTTAATTCAATTAGTATCACACTAATCTGAAACAAAAACATAATCATAGCATCAACGATTGCAAATAACACAGATATATTGTATGAAATGAAATGGGGTTATAACATCCTACTGTTCTACACCAATTAGACTAATGAAGATGGACATACACCATACAGTGTGCTATGAGGAAATTTTTCTCAGACTGCGTCATTTCGACATACTCTTCATAGAATTCAAATTATCAAGGGTTCATTTCAGTGTACACCAACGAGCACTCATATATGGATCTCATTTTTAAGTCTCATCCTAACAACTGGACATATTTTAAGTCCCATCCTTATGACTAGACACTTTTTATCTTGCCAGGCCCCTTAATTGTACTGAACTGCTGACAAAAGAAAACCTGGCTGTACAATTCAAGGAATTTTCTCAGTCAACACCAGGATCGACCTGTGGATTCCACAGATGAATTTAGTCTTCTGGTAATGATATTCATCCAGTAAATTCCAAATATCTAAGGAAATAGAGTTCAAAATGTCTTCAGTTAATTGAGACACACACGTCAACGCATAATTAGTCAATGAGAGACATTTGCCTGGCGCTATGGTGTACAACTGCCAAGGGTTCTTTTACGTGTATGCCAATGTGTACAGCGGACCTCGGTTGTCTTCCCATTTGAATGACTATACGTTGTCCCTGCGATGCCCTATACCCTGCACAACTGTATAGGTGGATCCATGCCGGAAAATCCAGATGAACTTTCTCTGCCATCACATGGATTGAACACGGAACCTATGGGTTAGCAAGCCAATGTCTTACTGAGTCATCATGGCTCCTCCTCCCAAAAAATGAAATGAAATGCTGCTATTACGTCCTACTGTTCTGCTTCGACAGGGTTAATGAAGACGGGCATACATCATACAGCGGAGCTATGACCTACTCTTATATCAAATTCCAACTGCCAAAGAGTTTAATGTGTGTACAAAGTGTCATAAAGGTATAATGTCTTGAATGGTTTATGATATTTGCTCTGCAAAGAAAGCAAGAACTGTAGGCCAGGCAGATGCAGCTCATTTCATTATCCCACCCTTAACCTCGATCTGCGCAAGATAACATCAATCCAATAAGTTTATAATATATTTTCTGACAATTTTTTTTAATTTCATACTGCCTTCTTTAAAGGGGCATTAGGTAAGATTAGATAGTGAGCTGACAGTTCTTGCTATAAGATACTAAGCAGCAAAATAAATGTCAGGTTGGTATAGGTTACTCTGAATAGATGTATTGCATAAAACTTGCCAAATGTTTTTATTGTATATTTGTGTCCACATCACCAACTTAACCTGAGCAATATGACTCCTTCCCAAACACAGAATTGAACCCAGGAAATGTTCTCAAAAACGCAACCTGACTTCTGAGATGGTAATGTGTTCTCCATGCCCTATAAAATGCACCCCCATACCTGGTTGAATCAGTCACACTACAACGTCATCAGCAAGCCAAGACTCCCGACAGCTCAGAGGAACCAGGCGCTTGGAAGACTCGACGCTGGCCACACTGCCCAAGCCGTTGCCGATCACTTCCAGGTCAATTCTCCGACCATCTACAGGCTTCAGCAACCCTTTCGGGCCACCAACACCACGGATGATCGCTACCGAACTGGTAGACCAAGAGTTACCTTAAGGCGACCAGACCGCCATGTTGTGCGACAGCACGTGCAGAATCCCTTCACACAGGCATCTGAGACAGCACGTCAGACAGTGGGAACAAACGGGAGACCCATCAGTACCGATACAGTGCACCGAGGTCTCACCAGAGAGAACTTCCATTGTCTCAGACCTTACCATGGACCGATCCTCTGGGCTCGCCATCGACGTGAACTTTGGCAGTAATTATCAGAAATCTTTGAAAATCAATAGGATTATTCGTCTTGTGACCTCAAACACTGTGTATAAATTTAAAGTCAATCAGATATTAACTTTAGCCTTTAGGGCATCCACAAAGTTTTTTGAAGTGATCAAGGGCCATAACTCTGGCAGTAATTATCAAAAATCACTGAAAAATGAATAGACTTCTTCGTCTCATGACCTTAAACACTGTGTATAAAATTTAAAGTCAATCGGATATTAACTTTAGACTCTAGAGCGTCCACAAGATTTTTCAAAATGATCAAGGGCCATAACTCTGGCAGTAATTATCGGAAATCGCTGAAAATCGATCGGATATTAACTTTGGCCTCTAAAGCGTCCACAAGATTTTTTGAATTGATCAAGGGCCATAACTCTGGCAGTAATTATCGGAAATCGCTGAAAATCAATAGGCTCCTTCGTCTCATGGCCTTAAACACTGTATATAAATTTAAAATCAATCGGATATTAACTTTAGCCTCTAGAGCGTCCACACGGGGGCGACGACAATATACGACCACATTTCAATGTGGGCGTATAAAAACCGTTTAAATACATCACCATCCCACCATAATGAAGGTTGAATTGGAATTTCGAGAAAATCGAAATGAAATTGCCCGTCAAAATGGCTGCTCGGATTTTCATCCCATCCGAACGACACAGCTGTCCTTGTGAGGCCCTCTGTCCTGCATCACTGACAAGGGGAAACCATGCCGGAATATCTTGATGAATTTCTCAGTCAACACCGGAATCGAATGCACTACCTCAAGACTAGCGAGCCAGTGACTTACTCACTTAGCCACCATGTCTCCCCCTCTCAAAAAATGAAATGAAATGGCGTTATCAACGTCCTACTGTTCTGCTCCGACTGGGCGAATGAATATGGGCATACACTATAAAACTGTGCTATGACCTAATCTTATAACGAATTCAAACTGCCAAGGATCTGTTACGTGCACACCAATGTGTACACAGGACCTTGGATTTTTGTCCCAATCAAACTAGACAGTTGTCCTTGCCAGGAACTCTGTCCTGCACAACTGACAAGGGAAAACCACGCCGGAAAATCTGACTAACTTTCTCAGTCAACACTGGGATAGAACCTGCTACCTCCAGGCAGGCTAGTGAGCCAGTGCCCTACCCGCTTAGCCACCATGGCTCCCTCCTCCCAATAAAATGAAATCAAATTAAGGAAATCATAATTGATTTTATAGCTTACCACAGATAAGTGTCTCTATATGATGCCTTGAGCAAGTGTAAATGAATCAATTCAATCACACTATCAATTATTATATCTGGCTTTTATTACAAATCAGTGGAGATTTGCTAAATATAATTACTGTTAAACCTATATCAAATATCACAGTAATCTATACACCTTTGATTATGCACATCTTCATCAAAGTCGAACTCTAATACGCCATACAATAAATATCCTCCATAATATATTTTTTAATATTTCATTTAGGGTAGAATATTCCAGTATAAACCGATAGCCTTTCTGACCCACAGATAATAAATTCAAGAAAGAAAAAGGTGTGACTTCTATGATAGTTTAATGTGTGTACAAAGTGTCATAAAGGTATAATGTCTTGAATGGTTTATGATATTTGCTCTGCAAAGAAAACAAGAACTGTAGGCCAGGCAGATGCAGCTCATTTCATTATCCCACCCTTAACCTCGATCTGCGCAAGATAACATCAATCCAATAAGTTTATAATATATTTTCTGACAATTTTTTTTAATTTCATACTGCCTTCTTTAAAGGGGAATTAGGTAAGATTAGATAGTGAGCTGACAGTTCTTGCTATAAGATACTAAGCAGCAAAATAAATGTCAGGTTGGTATAGGTTACTCTGAATAGATGTATTGCATAAAACTTGCCAAATGTTTTTATTGTATATTTGTGTCCACATCACCAACTTAACCTGAGCAATTAAGGCTCCTTCCCAAACACAGAATTGAACCCAGGAAATGTTCTCAAAAACGCAACCCGACTTCTGAGATGGTAATGTGTTCTCCATGCCCTATAAAATGCACCCCCATACCTGGTTGAATCAGTCACACTACAACGTCATCAGCAAGCCAAGACTCCCGACAGCTCAGAGGAACCAGGCGCTTGGAAGACTCGACGCTGGCCACACTGCCCAAGCCGTTGCCGATCACTTCCAGGTCAATTCTCCGACCATCTACAGGCTTCAGCAACCCTTTCGGGCCACCAACACCACGGATGATCGCTACCGAACTGGTAGACCAAGAGTTACCTTAAGGCGACCAGACCGTCATGTTGTGCGACAGCACGTGCAGAATCCCTTCACACAGGCATCTGAGACAGCACGTCAGACAGTGGGAACAAACGGGAGACCCATCAGTACCGATACAGTGCACCGAGGTCTCACCAGAGAGAACTTCCATTGTCTTAGACCTTACCATGGACCGATCCTCTGGACTCGCCATCGACGTGAACGTCTACAGTTTGCCGAACAACACCAGAACTGCGACACAGGCAAGGGAGATGAGAGTCGGTTTTGCGTATCAACTGCAGATGGCACGACCAGAATATGGGGTTGACATGACCAGCGACACATTATTCTGACCAATGTGTCATGGAATGAGACTCATGGCAAGGTCCAAGCATACTGGTTTGGGGTGGAGTCGGCTTGAACTAGTGAGCAGGTCCTGTGGTGTTCCAAGATCTTGGTCCAGGGGAAGGAGGCGGCATCACAGCAGTGCGCTAGATTGATCAAGCTTTCAAACCCCACGTCATACCACATTTCGCACGTCATTGAAACATTTCCTAGCATGACAACGCCCGCGCCCACACTGCCAGAGTTACTCGGGACTTTCTACAGCAGAACTGTGTCAACGTTATGCACTAACCAGCCCTTAGTCTGGACTTAAACCCGATTGAACATCTTTGGGATGAAATTCAGAGGAGACTTAATAACATTGTACCAAGACCAAACACAGCCGATGGATTGTGCCAGGCTTTTCTGATAGTGTGGTTCCAGGTGCCAATGGTGTTCATCAATCGTCTGGTCAACTCCTTGTACAGAAGCTGTGCTGCTGTTATTGACACTCGTGGTAGACACACCAGATACTGATGTGTAGACTGTGTACAGACTCTAAACCTTCTCGTAATGTCTTGGAATTGTGATGAATTAATCACTAATGTGTCAACATACTGTTCACAAAACATTGCTTTGATCCACGAGTCTCAACCGGACAGCAATTTCTAGCGTCTAGTTATTCCAGTCTATTGCGCATGCTCTCCAGATAAGATATGGCGTGACCATTTGACATGAGATGTGGAATATGTCTAGCTTCGTTCTTTCTGGTCACTTGTTTCAAATGACGCTGAAACGCACTATGGAACACGATTCGTGTATCAATGGTAAAATGTTTGTTTTGTCTTAAATATTGGATATCAGAAGCCTACCTTTTCCTGGTAAGATCACATCATCAATGTTGATTTGAATTGACAAATACTTTGGATGATATTGAGTTAGAGACTTAGCTACTTTAAACTACTAGAATTTCTAAATTAAAGATTCATTATCTAAAAGCTAAATTTGCCTATTAAGGTCTTGAAAAGGATTGAAACCTGATCTACATTTAATCATTTAACTGGTATATCGTGATAACCAAAATATTATTGTGATACGATAATTATCGTGTCCCAATATTGACGATAATACATAATAATGCAATATCATCTCCTATGACATTCTATTGATAGAATTAAATTCATCAGTAAAAATAGCATTATTAAGTACTCGCTGGTCAGGGTAAATCTCCATCATCGCATCTACCCATGTTAGCAACAATAATCTGACATCAAGCCGACAATTTTCGACACAAGTATTCAAAATTCAACTTCTTAAGACACATGTATAAATTATCAGGAGCTAAAAAAGGCGATTTTTCGTATAATCAGGGGTCATTATTCAGCAAGTTAGAATCAGATATGTGCAAATATTGGAAGGAACCAAAATCTTTGGATTATAAACATGCATTTCAAGTTTCATCAAAATAGGATTAAAATTATGACCCCTACAGGGTCCACAACCTTGACTATACCATATTTTTACACTATTCGCGTACAAACGGCGGCCATTTTGTCTGACAATATACGTCCACATGAACATGTGGGCGTATAAAAATCACGTTTTTAACTTGTGGTCCCTGTAGAGGTCACCCTTTTTATCCGATTTAAAAAAAAACGTGTGAATATATCACCATTACACACTTAGATCTTGGTTCCTTTTGATAATCGCGGATACCCGAACTTAACTTCCTGGTTTATTGCTCCTGATTGTTCGAAAAATCTAATTTTTAGCTTGCAGATTCAGGGGGGTTGGATGGCTGAATGGTTAGCGTGCGCACGCTGTATCATAAAGTCTGTCATTGAGTCGACTGGCGTGGTTTCGAATCCCCGGTTGTACGTGGCAAGGAGTAGGGTCGCCTGTCCAACCTCGTGGGTTTTTCTCCGGGTCCTCCGGTTTCCTACCACTGCTAAAGACCCCTACGCGCAAGCGAATTATGTAAATAAAATTAGATCATGTGTTAGTCCCGAAATGACCTAGTTTGTGTCGAGTGGATGTTAAACCCCATTTCTCTCTCTCTCTCTCTCTCTCGCAGATTCCAATTTTAAAGATAGGTTGCCAGGCAACGAAACATACGCCCACAGCAGCTAAATCGTCCGGGCAGTCAACAAGAGTTGTTGCATATTTTTACTTTTTTTGGTTATGAAACATTTATAATACACTAAAATCTGATTAAGAGCAACAACTCAGAAAACCATTAGAATTTGTTTGGTTTTTATAAAGTTCTGCCCCATGCTAACGTTTTGTATACAAAACTTTTAATACTGTATCATGGATTTAGCTGTTCCAAGTCATAAAAATTCATTGAAAATCAATATACTTGTTCGTCTCAAGATCTTAAACTCTGTGTATCAATCTGAAGTCAATCGGATATTAACTTTGGCCTCTAGAGCGTCCACAAGATTTTTCAAAGTGATCAAGGGCCATATTTGGCAGTAATTATCAGAAATCGCTGAAAATCAATAGGCTTTTTCGTCTCATGACCTTAAACACTGTGTATAAATTTAAAGTCAATCGGATATTAACTTTGGCCTCTAGAGCGTCTACAAGATTTTTTGAAGTGATCAAGGGCCATAACTCTGGCAGTAATTATCGGAAATCGCCGAAAATCAATAGGATTCTTCGTCTCATGACCTTAAACACTGTGTATAAATTTAAAGTCAATCGGATATTAACTTTGGCCTCTAGAGCGTCCACAAGATTTTTTGAAGTGATCAAGGGCCATAACTCTGGCAGTAATTATCGGAAATCGCAGAAAATCAATAGGCTTCTTCGTCTCATGACCTTAAACACTGTGTATAAATTTAAAGTCAATCGGATATTAACTTTGGCCTCTAGAGCATCCACAAGATTTTTTGAATTGATCAAGGGCCATAACTCTGACAGTAATTATCGGAAATCGCTGAAAATCAATAGGCTTCTTCGTCTCATGGCCTTAAACACTGTATATAAATTTAAAGTCAATCGGATATTAACTTTAGCCTCTAGAGCGTCCACAAGCAATTGTGGACACCGGACCGACGGACGGACGGGGCGACGACAATATACGACCACATTTCAATGTGGGCATATAAAAACCGTTTAAATACATCACCATCCCACCATAATGAAGGTTGAATTGGAATTTCGAGAAAATCGAAATGAAATTGCCCGTCAAAATGGCTGCTCTTTGTATGCAAATTGTGTATAAGTGTGTAATACGATGGATGTGGACCCTCTAGGTCACAATATTTATCCGATTTTGATGAAAGATCCCAAAGATCTCAGTCCCTTTTGATATTTGCACATTTCAGGCCATAACTTGCCCCTGATTGTACAAAAAATCGCGTTTGTTTTTAGCATGTTCTCTATCCATCTCTTGCAAAATGTTGGCGTATCCTGCGTGGCAACCGCTATAGTTTCATTATCGCCCAACTCTACTTATAGATATGGAAACAATCCCTATGTATATCATAGACCAAGATCAGCAACTGTACCATAGACAAAGATCAGTACCATCAAACCATATATTGGATTATTTTGGTATTTAAATGGTAAAAAAAAAAAGATTGTCAATAAAATTTACATATTGATTTATTGAAATTATTATCCAGTCCTAGTTTTAAACTATAACTAATCAATAAAACATGTCAGATTAACGATCAACCGAATTCATTCATTACATGTACTTTATTTTGACCTGAATTAAACAGGTCTAACTCCATTATCTTCTAGTCTTGAACAAAATAAATATTTGTGACTGTCGATTGTTTGTCTATCTATTCCGGGTGGGCGCGGGTACACTAGGGCTGCTCCAGGTTGAAATTTGGTGTATATGAGTAACATCGGCCTGGTGGTGCTGTACTACCACTTTCAGGTTCAGAGTTATACTACTTTAGGTTTAGGTCACAAAATCTAATTAATAAGACCTAATTAATTCATAAATAAGGAAGTTGTACAGTAGATATATATATATAGTTTTATATTGACTTTCTTACTTATTATATTTTTTTTTTATATTTCTTGAAATAAAAGTCAAAATACCTTGTCCTTGAAAGAGATGAGAATTACAGCTGTCTGTCTGGCTGATTTGATAAACAGGATCTGATGACTGTCAGATGACAGGATGTTTATTATTCCCCTACCCACACCTGTCATCACCAATGACAATTGGTGAAATTTGCAGATATAACATAACATAATGTCTAAATTATTCTAAATATTCATTTAATAGGCCTACTATATTTAGATACAGTTATTGTCAATGAATAACTTGTTGTACTGTACCCAACCCAATATTCATTTAATAGGCCTATTATATTTAGATACAGTTATTGTCAATGAATAACTTATTGTACTATACCCTAACAAAGATGGACAGTGTGCTAAGGGGACAATTTTTCCATGACAGCAACTTCCACATCTACTCTTGTCACATTCCAACTGCCAAGGGGTCTTTTACAACATGTACATAGGATCTTGGCTTTTCGGATCCATTTGAATGACTAGATTCTGTTCCTTGTTAGGCGAGGGGTTGGGTGGCCGAATGGTTAACGTGTACGCGTTGCATCATAAGGTCTGTCAAGTGGTGTGGTTTCGACTCCCCACTTGTATGTGACAAGGTACCTCGTAGGTTTCCTCCTGATGCTAAAGACCCCTATGAACAAGCGAATTAATGAAATAAATTTGAACCATATACGTTAGTCCCGAAATTACCTAGTTTGCGTCAAGTAGACGTTAAACCCAATTCTCTCTCTCCTTGTCAGGCCCTATGTTCTGCACCAATGACGAGGGGTGAAACTCTGCTGGAAAATCAGGAGGTACTTTATTTCTTGTCTAACACAAGGATTGAACCGCCGGGACCTAGGGGTTAGTGAGCCAGTACCATATTCACTGATCAACCGTGGCCGATACTTAAATTTGTTGGAATATTTGGCTAGTAGTAGTAAGTGCAGGAGGACTGCACCACCCACAAACATTTACACAAGACAGATATACAGACAAGACATAATATACAGACATGACAAACAACAAATGTGCATATTAGTGCTGGGTATTGTCACTGCAGTCACGTTACGATACATAGGGACTAAGATATGATTTGTATCGGGATTCATAATCAGGTCAATATATACCAAGAAAACAACAGGATTCATAAATAATTGATATTTTAAATCCTGTTGAGGTCAAAGAAATAAAACTATTATATTTCATGATATTGATGTGGATTAAAATAAGGACCAGAACAATTGAATAGTGTTTGTCTACCTATATATATAGTGTGTGACATGGATAATTAATTATATAACAGGTTACTTATTGAAGCAACAAAAAAAACAAAAAAATTGTGATACATCGATTCAGAGTCTCGCGCTTTGATGCACAAATTGTGTGAAAGAGAATTGTGATACATCAATACAACGTTATATCTTGCCAGCACTAGTGTAGGCCTATATCAGATCAAGTGAATGGATCCGGGGGGCTAGCCGTAAGCATCCACTGCACTGTACACTCCCGAGCCTTTAATGCTATTTCTTTCCAAAGCGAATCTGGAAAACAAAATCTTTGAGTTCCCATGCCCCTAGGCCATGTCCTACCCCATACACCATTTCGGACGCCAAATCAGTGATTTAAGTCACAGCTACTAGTACAGTAGATTAAATCTAATTTGTCATATATTCTGAAACTTAGAACCTTGGATTTTTCAAACCCGGCTTTCAGGAGTGGTGACTATAGAGCTAACGGGCTGACAAAAGTCATTCAGATGGGAAGAAAAACCAAGGTCCACCGACTGATGATGCATATTCTTCCCCTTTCATTCATGTTGATAACAAACTATCATAATTTAGAAATGAAACAGGGTTTAACGTCCTACTTTTCTGCTCAGACTGGGCTAATGCAAATTAATGGGCATACGACATATAGTGTGCTATGAGGGAAATTTTTCCCAGTAAGCAACACAACGGCCTACTCTTACATTGAATTCCAACTATATGTTGTCACTTGCTAGGCCCTCATTTCATTTCATATGGTCAGATCGAGAGTCTAGTCATTCGGATGGGATGAAAAACCAATGTCCTGTGTACACATTGATGTGCACATAAAAGATCACTTGGCAGTTGGAATTCAATATAGAGGCTGTAGTGCTGCTGTCCAGGAAAATTTCCTTCATAGCACACTGCATGGCATATATGCCCATATCTTCATTAGCCAAGTTGGAGCAGAACAGCAGGACTTTAAAATGCATTTCATTTCATTTGATGTGGTGAAATAAAATTTAAGTAAAACTAAAATAATTAGGCTACTTTTCTTATTTCAATTTCGGTAACCCTATGAAATTTGTAATTATTCTCAATATTGCTCACAAAAAAAAAACAAAGAAACAAAAAAAAAACAAACAAAGAAACAAAAAAAAAACCAAACAAAAAAAACCTATTGTTGTTTTTGTTCTCCATGACGACAATATTATAATAAATGCCATGGTAATTGTTGTCTCCATTATGCATGATGACCACTTTTTTATTTTGAGCAATGTAACAAAGTGGTAATTAATGTGTTGGTGGGCTAGAACCGAAGCTCTGTCAGGTTGCTTAGTAACATAGCCATGTTGAATTTTTTTGTGGAAATCAAGGCACCAGCACTGTTGAAAGCCTTTGTTGAAAATTGTTGAAAAAGATGAATATGAATATGTTTTAAGTTCAGAAAAGTCACCAATTAAATGTGAGTTTTTGACTGTTTATTATGTAGACCATTCTTTTTTAGAATTAAGGTAATGTTTTGTAGAAAAACTGTAAAATAACAAGTTGTTGGAAAGTTCAGCTATTTAATCTCGGCTATCTAATCTCAGTTATTTAACCTCTGACCCCTGCAGGTCCCTCTTGCTGTGGAATGCAAGACAAAACATTGTTTTCAAGGGAGATAACTACTATTAATAATATATGAAAATCCTTGTAATTTATAATACTTAATTGTTTTTAATTGTTATATTTTGCAGCGAATCTCACTCACTCACTCACTTACTCATTTACTGATTCATTCGTTAAGATGTTGAAAGATGTTATGCTTATTGTAGAAAGACGTTATGTTTATTGTTTGCAAGAACTAGACGTGTGTTCAAAAAGTGATATAAGTTCAAGAGATGAACGCTTGCCTGCTAGTCCAAATCCCATAGACCAAATCAGAAAGACAGAAGAATGGGTGAATTCTGACTTTACCCCAGAACTAGAAACCAGTAAAATGAACACAAACCCATTTACAAATAATGACTTTACTCCCAATCCCATTACACATGGCGACCCAGCAAGGAGTAAAATTAGAATGAATACGAACCCTTTTATAAACAATGAATTCACTCCCAGTCCCTTTGTGAATTTTAAAATCAGTTCAAATCCTTTTGTTGATGTGAATACAAAAGAACTTAGATAGAGCGAAACGTAGAAAACAATTCGCAAGCTGTCATGATGAAATTAACCTTGTTACACGCAATGAGACCTGTTAAATTCTGTGGCGATCCAGCAGATTACCCCATCTTCCGGGAACGTGTTAGGACTCACCTTGAAGATGGTCTGCTTGCCGAAAGTCAAAAGGTAGAATTCCTAAATAAGTTTATAGAAGGTGAAGTAGTCGAAGTGTTGAAACGTGTTTCTGGTTGTCCGTATGACAAAGTAATTTCTGTTCTTTATGAGAGATATGGACACCCTGCTAAGGTAGCTGCGGCATGCTTGAAGAATATAATAAACGGCCCCAAATTAGCCAACACAGATTATACTGGACTATAAAATTTCGCTGAAACACTCGAATCAGCAACAAATAGATTAACTGGTGAATATGAACAAGAGGCAAGTACCATGTTAAATATGAAATTAATAATCGCCAGATTACCTTCTTACCTAATCAATAAGTGGGGTGATAATTCCTATAATCTGCGAATGAACAATGCGACTCCGAAATTAAGAAATCTTTGTGAATTTGTGAAGAAACAGGCCAAAATTAAAAATGATCCTTTATTTTCTGCAGTTTCGTTACAAAGTACCGTGGAGAGAAAACCTGAAAGACAAAAACAATATACTGGTTATAGTTATAAACCAAACAGAGAGAAACAAACTTCTACTTTTTTGACAAACACTAGTAGTAGTACTCAAAGAGACAAATCCGCATATGTTCCAAATAGAACACAAAATGATAGCTCGAAAACAAAACTCAAATGTCCATATTGTTGTGGTAATAATCATTTAGTACCACAATGTGGAAAATTTCAGGACTTGGACATACAAAATAGATGGGACTTTGTGAAAAAAGTAAGGTTGTGTCATGCGTGTCTTTTGGCAGGACATTTTAGAACTGCTTGTACATTTCAAAACTATTGCACTTGTACAACAGAAAGAAAACATCATCCTTTGCTTCATAATGACAGGGGAGTGCGAGAACAATATAATCAAACATTTGAAAAACAGAAACCTGAAACCAAGTCAAATTATGCCACATTCGTACATCCATTAAAAAAAGCTGTATTATTGCACGTACCAGCTGTAGCGCTTGTCTCTCCCGATGGGAATATAATAACAACATACGGGTTAATAGACAATGCTAGTCGAGGGTCTATTATTGGGCGAGATATGGCTCGACATATGAAACTAAAGGGTAGAAAAGAATTAGTGTCGATAAATACCATCATTGGTAGCGAGACCCAAGAATACGAAATTGTTAACTTTGGCATTCAATCTGTTTCTAATGATTCGAAACTGTATGGTGTGGAAGCTATTATTTCGGATAGTTTCAATATATGTGAAAAATACCTCCCGCACGACATAAATTTACAAGACTATGAACACTTGGCTGATATTAAATTACCAGATGTGGACATAAAAGAAATATCAATTTTAATCGGAAAGGATGTTGATGAGGTACACAACATATATGAATTTCGCAAATCTCCAAATTCCGACAAACCCTTGCATGGGATTCTAGGACCATTAGGCTGGGTCATTACTGGAACGCTCGGTGAACCTGTAATGAACAAAGAAGTTAATGTGAATTATATTGACTACAATCATGACTATGATTTAAATGACATGGTTAAGAAGTTCTGGAAAATTGAAGACTCAGGAATTAATAGATCAAATGTCTCTGATAAATCCCTATCTATAGAAGATAAACGTGCCATAGAGATTATGGAAAAAACTACAGT